ATTTGCATTATTTGATTGTTTGTAAATAAACTATATCTAGTATATACTTACCACAATGCACTAAATATTCTATTTATCCAATTTTTACTATAAAAAGGATACATATGATATGTTGTTGTATAGCACACTAACTGAAATATCAGAAAACATAGTACCCAATAGTTATAGGTTTGTTCCCCATGGTAGAATATTACATTTTCTTACTGGCACGCAATCTGCTGTAACACCTTATTAATCCACATGGACGTAGTCTTGAGTGGGAGTGACATTTTTCTCTTGAGTCCCATTCATGCTTTCCTGTAAAATGGGTGACTCTGTTTCCAAACCAAAAATAGACGTTGGGGTCTGGTCAGGAACCAGGAATCTTAAAGCAAGGATGTTTCTCAATGGTTGGATGGATATAAGTCCTGATTGACCTAAAGTAATTTGGTAAAATACAGTCTTACTTCATTTTATTCTAGCAAAGCCATGGGGGCAAAATTAGGCTGTCCCTCAATCTCTCATGTGTCTTGTGTTTGCTGACAGGTTTTAGTTTGGGGTTTTTCGGTTGAAAGTTTACTTATTCGATTCAAAGTATAAAATTAATTATTTTTTATTCACCAATTTGTAATCCATCACCACTATCTAATTCTGGAAGGTTTTTGCCCCCAAAGTTCCATTAGCGTCTTCCTTTTCCCAGCTTCTAAAAAGCACAAGTTAATTTCTTTCTGAGAGCGTGACTATTGCTCACACTTCATAGACTATTGTTCACACTTCATAGACTATTGTTCACATTTTCTAAACTATTGTTCTCACTTCATAGACTATTGTTCACTCTGCATAGACTATTGTTCACATTCCAGAGACTATTGTTCACACTTCATAGACTATTGTTCACACTCCATAGACTATTGTTCACACTTCATAGACTATTGGTCACATTTCCTAGACTATTGTTCACACTTCATAGACTATTGTTCACACTCCATAGACTATTGTTCACACTTCATAGATTATTGTTCACACTCCATAGACTATTGTTCACACTTCATAGACTATTGGTCACATTTCCTAGACTATTGTTCACACTTCATAGACTATTGTTCACACTCCATAGACTATTGTTCACACTTCATAGACTATTGTTCACACTCCATAGACTATTGTTCACATTTCTTTAGTGTCTGGCTCCATTCATTTAGCCTGTTTCAAGTTTCTTCCATGTTCTAGCATGAAATAATACTTCAATGCTGAGAGCAATAGTCCATTGTGTGGATAAGCCGAACTATGTATCCATTCACTGTTTGATAGCTATTTGGATTAGTTCCACCGGATTTTGCTATTACAAAAAATGTTGCTATGACTGCTTACGTTCAGGTTTTTGTGTTGACATATGTATTATAACCCAGATATTGTTCAATAATACACAGTAAAGGCTCTTCTGTGAATGTTCATTTGCAGCCTTCCTTGAAAGGCTGCCTCGGTTGTCCTGATGCATTGTGAGTAGAACTTGCTGGATGTGTGAGGTGTCACAGTCAGGCAGGCCCCCCGCTAGCACTGTGTCTCTTCTCTGTCATTCTATCTCCAGGGTACCCATCTAGTCTTTCAGTGACTCATGACAAGCGTGATTGCTGGGTGCTCAGGTAAGAGTTGACTTTGCTTGAGAAGTCCGCCTCTGCTGCTGAGCACCTTGGACAAGTTATCCTGTCCCTGAACTTCACATGCTTTATCTGAGTGTCGGCAATAATAACAGCCACCTCACAGAGTTCATCCGATGGTGAGAGATAATGCCCGTGAGGTACATTCTGCTCTCAAAGCCAGGACTCAGCTAACGTATGTTTATGATATTAGTAATTGCTCTGTGCAGTATGACAGTTGATGACACGGAGGGCACAAATTAGGGGCAGTGTTGCACCCAGATCTTTAAACAACTTCGCTACTTTGGAGAAGCTTCACCATTCCTTTCACAATCTCTGGGTTGGTTTTCTAGGGATGCCATAACAAAACACCACACAGAGACATGGTGAGCTTGACCTGGCAATTCTGGAGGCCGGGTGTCCAAAATCAAGGTGTCAGTGTGTTCACTTGAGTCCTTTCTCCTTGGCTTGCAGGTGAATGGTCCTTGCTACCCCATTCCCTTCTCTTGAAAGTCACTATTCCCAAATGTCACCATAGTCCGATGTAAGGTTAGAGGTCAACATGTGGATTTGGGGGCAGGACTCAGTGTAGGAAATAGCTGGGCGGTGTCTGTATTATCCTACAGTGGGAACAAAAGAGAAAGTCTAAGCCTTGCTTATTGAAGCCAAGCTTCTTAGAGGAGACAGCCCAGTAAAAAAGATAATATATGTCTTTTCTCTACTTGCCCACTGTTCCTGGCCTCACAATTGAACTTGTGACCTTCACACAAGTATTATCAAATATACATTAAATATGTTGACCATCACAGAATCATAGTTCAGTCAGATGAGATGTTCCATGTCCTTGTTAGCTAAGAAGGAAAATTTACGGATTCTATTTGGAAACAGAATGTGTAAGCCAGTAATCCCAAGAAGTAGGACTAAAGTTGAGGTAAAATTAGTGAATAATTGAGATATGTGTTGTCTTATTTATTTGTGTGTGTGTGTGTGTGTGTGTGTGTGTGTGTGTGTGTGTGTGCAGGTGCCTGCCACACTTGTCACAGCACACATATGGAAGTCAGAGGACATTCCCTGGAAGTCAGGTCTCTCCTTCCACCATGTAGATCTTGAGGGTTGAACTCAGATCACGGGGCATGGCGGCAAGCACCTTTATCTTCTGAGCCATTTCAATAACCCTATGCTTGTTTTTAGGTTTCTCTCTACTCCATTTTCCTAACACAGCTTGTCAACCTCCAATTGAGCCAGCCAGGGACTGTCCCATGCTCACTGAATACCCATTTGCTCATGTTCAAACCTGCCCTACCCTTTCCTGTTTTCCCTTCTATTTTCCAAGGAAAAAAAAAAGGCATAAAGAGTTATTGAGTACCAGTGGAGTTGGGCCATGATTTAACATGGTATGTGTGTCCTCATTTGGTTCTCACAACAGCTTGACTTGGCCTTTTTTGTGGATGTGGAACCTGAGGTCCAAGGTGACTCCAAGCTTAGGAAGGCAGTGGCTACGGTGGTTGCTGTTAGCCTTGTATATGGCTCCTTGGAAAAAGTGCATGAGAGGAAAGTTGGGTGTCTGTGACTTGTGGCAGGTGTAGTCTCCGGAGCAGGAAGTGAGGGATGGAGAGGCAGACAGAAAAGGCTGAGCAAGGACATGCTGTGTGCCAAGTGAGCTTCAGTGAGACCCCTCCAGTAAGCCCCGAGATGCACATTATCATGGAATTTCCTCTGCCTTGAGACATGGGACTCACATTTTATCCTGAGTCAGTTATTTCCAGGTTACATGGATGAGCCCTTATGGCTATGACAATACCAATGGACGTACGTTTGACACCAAGAGCTGGAAGTAGAGAACTTAAGAACCTCCAAGCTAATCTTCATCAGATAGTGCACTAACAGTATTTATGGTGTAACAAGGTATTTTTGTGAACATTATTCATTTAATCATCATCACAATAATAATAATAACCTTATGAAGAAGGTGACAAATTTCCTTATCCCTATTTGGTGGGGAAAGTTAACGTTATGACTGTAGAATATGATAGCAGGGACCTTAAATTTACTTCTTGGTTAAGATTGGATGGTCCTCCGAGTTCAGTATGTTACCTTGTGGGATGGATGTCACAAAAGACATGAGTACCCATATAGTATGACTAGTTGTCTACATTTGCCTAGGACTTTTCTGAATTTAGAGCTCTAAACCCCACTTTCAAGGTAACCTAGGACTACGAGGCCCAGCGCCTAAAGTCGGCAATGCTCTAAGATTCAGAGAAGTCTTCTCATTTTAACTTCTTCTAAGAACAGGAGAAAAATGTGACTATAATAATGATGACCATAAATACTGCAGCCGGTCCTAACTGTGGTCATGCTGACATAGTCACTAATACTGCAGCTGGTCCTAACTGTGGTCATGCTGACATAGTCACTAATACTGTAGCTGGTCCTAACTGTGGTCATGCTGACATAGTCACTAAGGACCTGTTTTCATTTATTTATTTCTTATGTGTGTCTGTGTATGCTTGTGCACATGCGTGGAGGCCAGAAGACAACTTTGGGAGTCAGTTCTCTCCTTCTGCCCATTTGACTGCAGTTTATGGAGCTTGAATTCAGGTCATCTGGCTTGATGGCAATTGCCTTTACCTGCTGAGCAATTATGTTGGCTCCCAGCAAATATATTTTTTTAATGCATGTGTAAGTATAAGAAGGAGCTTCTGGGGGAAAGCTTCAGACATGGCAGAACTGAGATTGGGGTCATAGTAAGCCCTTTACACCTTAGTAATGGTGGCTGGTTGTGGCTAAGGAACTTGGAGATTTCCCCAGGGATGGTTCTTGAAAACATCTGGTGTTTCCTAGATCTGGGATTTCTGTGCATCTTCCTGCTTCTCCTCTCAAGACACATCAGTTGCTTGGGTTACTTTGATTTTGGGAGGAATTGGTAAGCCCGTCTGAAGGCCTTCCCCTGTGCCGTGAGACTAGTCCAATGTCTCCTTCTGTTCGTTTGCCATGACCAGACCCTGTTCTGTCTCATTGCGCTTCCTCTGCTCCTAGCTCAGGGCCAGGCACAATGCAGATCCTCTGTAGGCATTCATGGACTGAATAAATGAATCAGTTAAAACTGAAATTAATTATTTGCTTGTTTTATAGCCCTGGGGTTGTGAAACACTCTAAGCCTCATTATTTTCCATGTATAAAATAATAAAAAAAATCCTTGGAACAGATATACCCTCAAATTCGTGGAAGGTACTTTATGTAATACTTGTTATACTTGTAGGCTTTGCCACTATCATTGAAAAATGTATCTCAGCAATTAAATTGTTCCTTGAAGGTTCTTAATATCATCACTTTATTTTCTCTCCCCCCCCTTTTTTTAATTTTAGATTTTCACTAGAATCCAGCATGTCGAATTTTTCCTCGAGAAAAAAGTCTCCTACTGGAAACGGTAATACAGATAATATTTACTAAAATATTATAAAACCCTTTAAATATAAGTAAAACAACTCATTGATTATACATTTTACTATAGATAGCTGTTGTTTACAATGACCTTACTATATTAGCTTTGCTTAAGTAAGGTATCCTTTCTTTTAAAGTAAGAATGAGGGATGGGGAGAGGAATGTGATGTAGATCTAGTACTCATATGTGAAATTCTTTAAAATATTGAAATACATTTTTAAAAATGTTGTAGTTTCTACTTATGTCATTATAATTTAAAAAGTTTTAAAGATCACCATAAACATCCTTTGGAGGGTGATCTGTGCCCTGGTGCCTGTGAGATTCATGAACTAAGTCCTGTGTAATCAATTTACAGTGTGTTTCGAAGGCACATTACTATTGAGCAGAATATGTTGGCCACTTAGCCCTGTCTGGGTTTGTCTCAGCATGGGGATCCTGCATTCTCTGGGCTCCAGATGGGCCTCCTGAGCTGCACTGGCAGTTTCGGTTGGCACCTGAGCAGTTTTATTTGTTATCTTTGGTGCTGGGGTGTGGGATTTGTTCTTTCTTGCTGAGGCACCCTGCTGCTAGACTTGCCAGCCCAGATGAGGCCAATGAGATGCTCTCTGAAGACCTTCTGGTTAACGCCCCACACTCAGCTTCCCTCTACAGCAACTGTTCGTGTTTCTCTTGGTAGATGTGAAGAGCACCCAGGGGGCTGCACAGAGACAGCAGGGCTTTCATGATGTGAACAAAAGAAGGGTGTTCTTGCAGGATAACAGCTGGATAAAGAAACGTCCTGAGGAGGAAAAGTAAGTGTGGTGAGGGAAGGATGGATGGCTGGATGGCTGGATGGCTGGATGATGGATGAATGGATGAATGGGTGGATGGATAATGGATGGATGATGATGGATGCATGGGTGGATAGATGGATGGATGATGGAAGGATGGATGATGGATGGATGGGTGGATGGATAATGGATGAATGATGGATGGATGATGGATGATGATGGATGCATGAGTGGATGGATGGATGGATGATGGAAGGATGGATGATGGATGGGTGGATGGATAATGGATGAATGATGGATGGATGATGGATGATGATGGATGTATGGGTAGATGGGTGGATGGATGGGTGGATGATGGATCGATGGATGGATGATGGATGGCTGGATGGCTGGATGATGGATGGATAAATGATGGAAGGATGGATGATGGATGGATGGGTGGATGAATGGCTGGCTGGATGGATGGATGATGGATGGAAGGATGGATGATGGATGGATGGATGGATGATGGATGGAAGGATGGATGATGGATGGATAGATGGATGATGGATGGAAGGATGAATGATGGATGGATAGATGGATGGATGATGATGGATGGATGGGTGGGTGGATGATGGATGGATAGATGGATGGATGATGATGGATGGATGATGGATAGATGGATGATGGAAGGATGTATGTATGTATGTATGTATGTATGAGAGGTATCTCTGCTTGGAAGATATGACCATGTAAAAAGCAAGCCTTTCCCACTAAAGTGCTTGACTACATAGTCTAATTTTTGTAAGATTTAGTAAGCATAAATCAGTTGTACCACATTCTTAAGAAAACCTGCACTCTTAAAAGCAAGCATTTACAAACAAAAGAATGTGAGCTATTACAGAGGAGAGCATGATTGTCAACTAAAATAGGTGTATACTGAAAAGGAAGCAAGACATCCCTGTTTTCCAAAAGGCAGCAGTTAATCTCTATGTTGTATTGATCATGTCAGTAACTTTTCTAATTTGCAAATATAAAATAATAATTCAAACTTCTACATGCGTGAATAAAATCAGCAAGCTCATTTCAGGCCGACCTGACCATCTACCTCTAGGTGGCCGGAAGAGTGGACCTTATTTAAAGGCAAGCGCTAGCAAAGCTTCGAGCATTGCTTCTGCTAGCTGTATATTTAATATTTAAATATTGTCATCATAGCTTTATGTAGCTTGTCTTTCTCTGTCCCACTAGCCAGCTCCAAAATCACTACATGGAGACTTCTTAACTAATTACGAAAGCTGGGCAGATAGCTTACGGCTTATTTCTAACTGGCTCTGATAGCTTAAACTAAACCATTTTTATTAATTTACATTCTTCCACATGACTCATGGCTTGCTACCTCACCTCCCACCTGTCATGCTTTCTCCACATCTCCTCATGACTCCATCCTTCTTTTACCCAGCATTCTCTCTGCCCTGAAAATCCTGCCTAGGATTTTATTGGCCATTCAGCTTTTTATTAAACCAATCAGAATGACACATATTCACAGTGGACAAAATGATAATTCCATAGCAGATTTATGATAGATATTCATATAGCCCAGGTCCATCTTTATCATTAATTAGTTATGAATTACAGATTATGCATAGCTATGGATACATTTTCTGATTTTACTATGTGTTAAACTTTGGGTTAGGTATCAGGTTCATAAAGTGTCACTAAGTCTTATAAATATATGAGTTAGGCATTATAATCTCATTCTATAGGAGAGAAATAGCTCTCAGAAGCTATGTAATTTGGCCAAATGACACACAGCTGTTAAGTGGCAGAACTGACATTTTAACAAGATTCATTGTCTTTCCATTATACCAGTGTCTTTTAAACAGAGGCAATTTTACCTCAGGCAATTTGGGAGATATTTTTCATCATGGAATTGGGGAATACACCTAACACTTAAGTGAGTAAAGGTTCAAAGTATTGGCAAACATCTTGAAGTGTGCAGGATAGATGCCATAGAAAGACTTTCAAACATACCATGTTAGCAGCCCTAAGCTGAGAAACTGCATTTTGGGGTACTTATTCTGACTTTTACACACTGTCCAGATAGGCTTATTGGAGGAACGTACTTGTGACTGGCAATAAGTAGTAAAAGCGTCTGTTGCCTTCTGCTCCTGTATCTTATTCATTTAAGGACTCCAGTGATGTGCAGAGATGTAACCACCGTTAGACTGAGCACAGTTGGACAACAAGCACTCCCTCCCACGGATCTGCCCTCAGCTCTTCTGTGAGAGTGCTTCTCTTTTCCTGTAGTGGCCTCATGATAACAAATGTCCATAATAAAATTTGGCTTACAAATATTTGTGTAGATGGATAAAGGTAGAGATGTCTCCGGTAAGTCACAGTTGGTAGGAATGTTGATCCTATGCCAAGCAAGCCTCCCTAATCAGGCCCAGGGAAACCAGATTGGATGCCATGGTAGCTGCTGAGTGATGGGGAAATTGGCTCCCGTTCTTTGCAGGCTCCCGCTGGCCCGTTTCTGGGCTGTGCGTTATCGTTTGTTCTCAGGGAAGAGTGCGCCTGGTGCCTGCTGTGCTTTTCGAAGTTTTGTCGGAGGATGCCAGGGAAGAGGGGAACTTTTCTCTTGGTAGCCTTCTGAGGGTGCTTTAGTTTCTCTGCTCACCTTTCTTTAATTATCGGCTGTAGCTTCTTTTATAGCTTTATTAAGCACAGCTCCAGAATGTTGAGCAATGTTGATGGAGGCCGACCAGAGAAAATGTGGTGTTTCAGGTTTGGGGGGTTGGCAGGAAAAACTCAGGTGCTTGTCCTCTGCTGGTTTCAAGGCCACTTCCTAACCATGCCTGCTAGGTCATACCTACTCTGTGAAGTGAGAAGGGCATAGCTTTGGCAAGTCCTGTGTAAAAGTCCATCATGGGGCTGACTGTAAAGAGAACAGATGACAGGCAATAGAGACTGGGGTCCTTAGCCACCTTTGTCCCTTGATAATCATGTGATTTTAGAAAAGCCACAGAATCTCTGTTGAATGCCCTCTTATGCTGACTAGCATAAACTCTCTTCTCCTCCTAATTTAATAGGTTTCTTAGGGCACATGAAGCATCCTCACGGTTCAAAGTTGGGCTTCCTCTCCTGCAAATGATCAGTCTCCCTCACTTGAAGCTTTAGTTCTTGTTTCCCCACGTTTTTCGAAGGCCAATGGTCAAATCCATCAAAATGTGCAGGCATCATAAGCTTAATTAAGCCTGAAGAATGTTTATAGGAAACCTTTGTCTTCTCTTCTTGTAGGGAAGAACTGATAGACACAAAACCAATGGCCTTATGCTCCCATGCTCTGGTTAAAAAGAAAACAAAACCAATCACAACAAGCAAGGCACTGACTCATCATTGGGCCACATGAAGATCTCCTGGGACAAGGGGCCTTTGTGCAATCAAACTTGCTGCATTCCGCTCGCCTTCTGCAAGCTGTGGCTGGATAATTTAGATTTATGTCTGTGCTTTTAGGCATGGAGTAACACAAATTAACCTTGCCTTAAGTTGGAAACTCTCTCCCCGCCTCTCTCTTGTAGTGCTTAGCAAACATCACGTTTGATGTAATTTAATTTGGGTCTTTCTCCGCAGAGATGAGAATTACGGCAGGGTGGTGCTCAGCCGGCACAACTCCCACGACGCCTTGGACAGGTGAGTGCCTCCAACAATTCCATCAGTTCACACGAAGTTGAAGGTGTAGAGAGAAAACCTGTTCAAGTCAGATGAACAGTTGAAGCTAGCCCTGAGCTTCCGTCAACACATACACAAGGAAAGGAGAATCTGGAGTACTGTCAGGGCCTTCTTCCAAAAAACTGTCCCGTGTCAGCTCCCAGAACTGTAGCTGGGAGAAGGCTCACAAGCCATCTCATCCCACTCCACTGACAAGGAGAGAGGGCTCTCATACGAGCATGCCCAGAGAAGACGTGATACTTAGAGAAAGGAAGGCTAAAAGTAGCTTCAGAGCGCATGTGCTATGTGGGACATTGTTTTTATGAAAGCCATGGGCTTGTGGAAAAACCTTGACTTATCTGTGTTACTGAGTAGACTAACAAGTTCAAGTCAACAGGGGAATTAAGATAAAATGAGGAATCTCGATATGAACATTCTCAGATCCATCGAACAGATAATACTCTCATTGGCACAGGCTTGTACTCACAGGTTAGGGAGAGCCACACCTTAGAAGAACCTAAATATTTATCACAGTCAAGTTTCATCTGGTGCAGTGGCTTGTATCTGTGTACCAGTCAGAAGCCTTTGGTAAGGGAGTGTGAATTAAAAATAAAATAACTGAGTGTATATCTTGAAATGTATCTACATTTGAATCTTGTACTTGTGAATTTATCTTAACCATTTTAAACCTTTACATAAATTTGACATGTTCTAAAGGTGCCTAACTTACCATTTTGTGTTCCTAATGGCAGCTTTTAACTCAACAGATTAACCGTTGGTTTTCATTCTTTTTAAAGTTAGTACAGAAATCATGGGGTTCACGGTGGCACTTTATACATATGTGCCACATTCTTTGTTCTAATTTGTCCCATGCCCCCTTCTGATTTACTGTCTTTGAAAGCACTTTAAATCAATTCTATTTTATAAAATAAAATATTGGCCCATCAATATGATAGCCAATTTTTCAATGGAGATTTTTTCCTGAAGAAATTTTAATTTGCTGGCCTATGGTTTAGGGATTCACTGTTTGTCACTTCACCTTAGTCTTCATTGACTTGGAGATTGGCCCCTGGCTTACAGTGGCCCTTAATTTCACCAAGCAAAGGGACACTGATTGAGTCCAGCAACCAAGGAAAATTGTTCTGTACCAACAACCAATGAAAATTGCTCTGTGCATTTAAATAGACTTTCTCCAGAACACACACTCTCATTTTAAACTGTGGCAGTGAGAACTAAGCTTCATCTTCTCGGCTTACCCACAGTGCACCTTAGCATAACAGGACCTTGGTATCATCTATGCTGGCTTTACATTTAAAATCATATTGGTTTCCTGAACTCTCCCTCTTGGTGGACAGCATCTTGGCTAAAGTAGTACACCAAGCTTTTATCATAAGTAACAGAGCTCTCTGAACCTGGAGGTGATCAATAACTCATATCACAGAATGAGTCTCCTCAAGGGATATGGCAGATTTTCCTGGTACTGGCTCAAATGATGCTGCTCAACCCAGCCCCAAGGGTTTCCTGTGGTGGTCACACAGCCACCTTGGAGCATCTGCTGGGTTCTGGGGGCACAGAGAAGCACAAACAACATCAGAGAGTATGAAGCTCTTACATTCATGGAGAAGACCATGAGCCATAATACTGTGGTTTACCATAAGCAGTAGCCATGGAACAGATGTGTGACAATGTTGTGGAAACAGAGAAGAAGGGGAGAGTGATTTGACTTGCAGAATCCCAAATCCCACCATGGAAGTGCTCTTTGGTGGATGCCACCACCTAAAGAATGAGGAGGAGCGTTGAAGAGAGGCCAGTTGGCACCAGATGTAGGGAAGGGTTTCCAGAAGACGTAACCATGTGTGAAAAGAGCTGGCAGGGCAGAGACTGAGCTAACACATCCCCTATATTAGATAACAGCATCATATTATCTGAATCTAGGAAATCTTACTGTGTAGTTCTTTGGAAAGATCATTTAATGTCAATCAAGTTAATATCATCTATGGAATATGCTTGGAGCCAGACATTGAGCTTAGAACTGGATGTAAAATAACCCCAGAGTCCACTGATTATGCATCCCAGTTGAAGGTGGGGAAGAGGAGGAAATGTAAATAAATAATAACAAATAATGCTATAATTCCCCACAAAGTTTGTTCTCCATGGGTCATGGGACTTACGGAAGCATTACTTTTGTGCTAAGAGCTAGAGAGAAAAAAGTCAACCAAAATCTAAAGTGATGGTGTTTGTGGATGGGCTGGTTCTCATTGCTGTTGTTGTGAAATTATTTATGTTTTTGCTCTGTGTATTTGCTTGTTTGTTTTGAGACATTGAGAGTAGAATCCAGAACTTTTCACTCAGTAGACAGCACTCTGCCATTTTGCTACAAACCACTCAAAAAGGGCTTTTTTTTTTTATGGCTTCATGACTTCACTTAGAAGTTTCCTTCAAACCTTGGGAAATGTAGAAGAGTTTTCTTTCCTTCATTCTTGCCTTCACTGTGCTGTTTGATCAGCGGTCTGTAAATGTTCTTGTCTGTTTGTCTTCCTGCACTTTATCAGGAAGCCCTCTGGTTCTTACATTTGAAATAACTTCCTTGAAGTTTCCTGAACTTCTTTCATCACACAAAGCACCATTTGCCTTTGGATATATGGTTGTGTTTCTCATAGTTGAGCTGCCTCTCTCTTCTTTTATTCCTCCATTTTTCTTGTTCTTCTTTCTTCTTGTTCCCCTCCCGATTACTGCTATCACTATTCTTCCCTCTGCACATCTATTGTTTCATTGTTCACTCTTGTTTCTCCACTTCTTCCTGGATTTTCTGTTCCTTCTCTGCTCTCTCTGTCACAAGCCTTTTGCTTTTGTGCCTGTCCATGGTGCTGAATGTTAAATAAAGCATTTTAGGAGCGGGCCCTCTGAGAGGGCTCACAGCCTCTGATAAAATAAGCTTACATGATGGTAAGATATTCCTACTCTGTAGACACCCGCAGTTATTAAGCACTAGTTATTAATACTGTTATTAATACACTAGTTATTAGCCACTATTAGCACAAGTACCGTATATCCTTTACCTCAGTGTGAGTGTGTTACACTACAGTGTTTTATGAAAGCGTGGAAAAAACATCGGAACCAGTGAAGTGTCATTTATTAGCAGTAGGAACTGAGTTTGCCTTAATTTATCTTATCCAAGTCAACATTTGGAAGATGTGCATGCCAACTTGGTCTCTCCTTGCTAACATGTACCGCTCCTAGTTAAACAGGACAACACTTTGTCAAATTTATGATAGGTTTCATGAGATAATTTTGTAATTTCGTCTCTTGATAACTGTGTTTGCTACAGGAAAACAGCCGAGAGACATGAGCCAAAAGCCACGATTAGCCGGTACAGATCTGATGATGCTCTGGACAGGTGAGGTGCTTATGAACCATGCCAGTGCATCAAATCTACTATGTGTAACCGCAAGTCCCATTCTACCATGCAGGGAGGGGCTGGAGTGTTTACTGAGGCATAGTTTGCACTGGTGCTATTTTCTCTCAAGGAGGAGGAGCCTCTGAAGTCCAAATTGTCTCCTCATCTCACAGAGTCTTAGCTAGATATATGATCTCCCCAGGGGAAGCAGTTGATTAATTTAAAACATGGTGATTTGAGTATGAATATTGCCTGGAATCTGTTAGCTAAATTTTAACTGAGGGACATCAGTCCTTATTCTCCAGCCGTGGGTTCTTCAATTGTGATGGCAGAGAGACAGCAGCTTCTGGAAAACCACTTTTAAGTATACACATTGTTGTTAGAAACGTGAACTGTGCTGAGGAAGTTTAAATAATGCCCAGCATGAAAAATAAAGACCCCGAAGTTAGTTTGGAATCATTTTAATTGGCTAGGTCAGGGCGCCCTCTATTGTTCTATTGTGGAAGTAAATCTTTCCCTTGGATCTTTTTCAAAAAATTGTTTCTTTGAAGCCAGGCAGTGGTAGCGCATGCCATTAACCCCAGATACAACCTGTTTTGATGATGTTCTCCCCCACTCTACACCCAGATCCACCCCATCCCACACCCATTGTTTTAGTTATTTTTTTTTTGCTTTGATGAAGCTCTGTAACCATGGCAACTTATAAAAGAATTCATTTAATTGGTTTCCGGTTTCAGAGGTTTAGAGTCCACGATGGCAGGTGAAGGAACACCTGAGAGCTCGCATTTTGGTCACAACCATGGGGCAGAAAGAACAGAAAGCACACTGGGAGTGGTGCTCATGTTTTGAAGCCTCAAATCCCACCCCTGGTGACACATCTCCTTTAACAAGGTCATGCCTCCTAATCCTTCCCAAACAGGTCCACCAACTGAAGACCAATTATTCAAACATATGAACCAATGGAGACTGTGCTCAATCAAGCCACCACAACCACTCAACTTTATGTCCCCTTTTTCTTTATCAAGACTAATTTGTGAAGATATGGGGTCTTCTGCTAGAGTGTGGTCAACTTATCAAGACATACGGTTTTAGAGAAAACTCTCTCCTCATGAAGCCAAAAATTGCCAATAGCTCCATGTCTAGGTGTTAGGCTTCCTGCCCAACTCCTATCTTCACAAGCTGGGATTTGGTCTGGTGTGTGCTTTCATGGGTTCTGTGCATGCTATCACAACTGTTGTGAGTGTATATGTGCAACTACCTGCTGGCTCCAGACAGTGTTCCCTTGTAGCCATCCACTGATTCTTATTCTCTTTCTGCCTCCTCTTCTGCAATGAGATCCCTGAGCCTTGGAAGGAGGGACTATGGTGTGCACGTGTTCTCTCTCTCTCTCTCTCTCTCTCTCTCTCCCTCTCTCCCTCTCTCTCTCTCTCTCTCTCACACACACACACACACACTCACGACATTACATTACATTTGGGGTTGGATATTCTTCCGTGTCTTATTCTCTGCACGTCAGCCAGTTGTGGGGTCTCTATGTTAATCATCATCTACTACAGTTGTGAGTCATTGTGCCAATAACCATCTTCTGAAAATAGAAGCTTCTCAGATGCATTAATGTATGGATATAATGATAAGAGTTAATCTAATAATAAGTTTATTTAACTAAATAATGACAGTAGGCTCTCTTCTAGGGCCTAACCCAAGTAGACTCATTTGTCAAGATAGGGTGTTTTTAGTCCATCCTTCCTTCTACCAAAATCCAAATGGGTTAACACATAGATCATTGCTTGACTCATGAGAGCTCAGTATCCAGGGAGTGGCTCAGGCAGCAAAGTTCTTCCCCTGTTTTAATGCTGCCATCTTCAACCATGGGCACCAAAGTTGTAGCCGAGGAGGAAGAAAGAGTATAAAAGGTATGCAGGAAGTTTTACAATGGGGCTGGACGTGGTAACAATGTTTCTATCCACCATCTTTAAAACTTGGTCAAAAAAAAAAACAAAAAAACAAACAAACAAACAAAAAAAACTTGGTCAAGTGGGTCCTAATGACACAATGTTTCTGTCCACAGTCTTTAAAACTCAGTCAAGTGGGTGCCAACCTAAGGACATTTAAGTTGGTAAACGTGGCTTCTGTAAGCTCCGAAGAAAAAGAAATGAGTGTGGCAAACACAAAGCGTTCTCTGTGCGGCAGAACTTTTAAAAAGTCCTGAGGTCTTTTATGGATGCCTTTTACCAACATAGAAAGTATTATCATTGAGCTACAAAAATACGACACACAGCAGCTGAGTTAAGATCTCAGTGAGTCAGGAGGTGATCAGTAAGTGTTGCTGTGCACCAGAATTCAGGTGCTGTCGAGATAGCTCATCAGCCCTCTTTCACTTTCAGGCATTGTAAAATGTAATACAGAGAAGTTCTTTTAACAAAACAACAAAGGATTAAATATAAAGTTGTTGAGGCATGTAGAGACCTGGAAGAAGTTTGACAAGCTAAATGTCTGTGCAAACTTGTGTGTTGTGTGTGTGAGGGGCAGGCAGAAGAGCTGATGCTGGAACAGTTAAAGCCCAGAGCTCGGATAATTAGCTAACCAACAGGTGCTAGCACTCACTATCTTGGGAAATAGAATTCAGATAGAATCCTTTGTAAGTGTTATTTATTTTTACCTAACAACTTACAACCATCCTTAATGTCTTTCTGCAAAATTTTACCCTCTGTATATTTAAAAAAATATATACAATTAATTCTTTGAAAATTTCTTTCACATATTCATACAATCTATTTTGATCTTATTCACCACCATGCATGCCTCTAACTCCTCCTAGATCCCCAATGCTTTTTTTTTTAAAAAAAGTTTATTTATTTTATACTCATGGTTGTTTATCCTGCATATTTATCTGTATACCATGTGTAGGTCTTAGGGCAGGAGGAGGCCAGGAGAGGGTGTGAGCGGCCATGTGGATCCCGGGAAATGAACCTAGATCCTCTGGAAGAACAGCCAGCACTTTTAACTGATGAACCATTACTCTAGCCACCCCACTCCCTGCCCGTGTCTTTATTGTTTTTATGTATAGCTCAAGTCAAATTTGTGCTTATGGGTGTGGCGCCATCTGCTGGAGCATTGTCAATTTAGCAGGAGCAGCACTCTTAAAACTAACTTTGTAGAAGCCTCTTCTGCTAGGGGTGGGTGCTTGGATCTCCTATTTGCTGCATTCTGGGGTGTTAAATGGTTGATACAGTACAAGCTTTGTGCAGGCCAAATTACCCTCTGTATTTTTAGAACAACCTTTTTCAAGTAAAACCCTTGGATTTTGCTCACGGTAGAATAAAATGTTGCCTGGCTTACAAACCCAGAGGCTCCACTGCTATGGGTCCTTAGCTTCACCTCATCTGTGTCTCCATTAAGGTGTTCTGGTGGTAAGGTTATGAATTTTATATTTGAAATTACCAAATCTAGCATCTTAAGGCATTGGGCTTAGATAGTAATGACTTTTCAGAAGAAAAAGTGCATCTCGGGATTTACCACAGGATTTTAAGCACCACGAAATTAGCTCACCAAATTCATTCAAACAGTGATGCTTGAATCCAGTAGCCTCTAGTTCTTCCTCATAACTTTAAATTCTTGGACAAGCACAGATAAAGGAAGAATTAACTAGGTTTTCACCATTGCTGAAACTATGCCACTGTTTCTTTCTTCTTCCAGAACACTGTCCACGCTTAGGACACCAGAAGCAACCAAGATGTAAGTACTGATGTGTTTTTTCCTTGTGTGCATTTAAAAACAATCAAGGCTTACAACCCTCAGGCCAAAGTGTCACTCGACTACAACAAGACCCTGTGGTGTTGGCAGCGTTAGTCTCAGAGAAGAACCAAAACAGGCTTCACAGCATCTGTCTGTCTGGACGTGTCCTGAAAAAGCTTACCTCCCACCACTCTCAAGGAATCACTAAAATTTAGATGGATGCCTTTTGTCTTATATTTTAAAATGGACTCAGGGCTGGAGGGCTGACCCAATGGTCAAGAGCCCTGGATGGTCTTTCAGAGGATGCAGTTTTGATTCCTAGCATCCACATGGCAGCTCACAACCCTCTGTACCTCCAGTTCTAGGGGATCTAATGTCACATTCTGGCCTCCTCCTGCACCACACAGGCAAATGGCACACAGAGATGCCCATAGGCCAAACACCTGATGCACGATAAATAAAATCTCAGAGCGAGAGACTGGGGTTCAAGCTGAAGGTCCAAAAAACCAAAACAGCCAGCCACTGGCTCTTCCCTCAGTCTGAAAATGCTGATCCTGCCTCCAGGAATCTCAGCATGAGACTGTGACTGAAAGCTGTCTCTTCCTGTCTTATTTTCCTCTTTAGTTCTGGGATTAAGGGCATGCACCACTACCGTCTGGTTTCTATGGCAAGCTAGTGTGGCTACTGGGATTAAAGGTGGTGTGTTATTGATGCCTGGTCTGTAAGGCTGACCAATGTGGCTGTTTTACCTTTCTGATCCTCAGGCAAGTTTTATTTATTAAAATACAAGTGAAATGTCACTACACCCCCACACACATACCAACAAAACAAAGTAAGACAGAGGACTCTGTTTCTCCCCCATTTGTTTGACAACTGACTCCTTCTCATTCAGCACCTCACCTTCTTCCCTGGTGCCCCTCACATCGGCTCTTTGTCCCTCAGAGCAAACTCAGTGAACCATGAAACCATGAAAGCCATTTTCCCTGGCACACCTACTACTACTTATAAGCAGCACAACCTGGATGAACTTTAACACAATTACCTTAAAAAACTGCCTTTATCGATAGAATACTTTCCATGTCGGATCCCAGTCTTAGTGTGTAAAATAGACCCTGGGTCGTTGCCATTTTTTGAGGATCCAAATATGTGCCAAAATGGAGACTAAATACCAAATATAGATTACTAATGTGTGTTTCTCAATTTTTTTCTTAAGATCATATTTCTAATGCAAAAAATAACAGCCTAATTCCATGAATCACAAAAAAATAATAAGGTTAAGAGAATGCAAATCGATAGCATGTCACAACTGGTTAGCTTGAACTTCACACGATTAACACGTGTTAATGACTTTCTCAGCCTTCATCTCTGAACCAGCTCTGTAAGAGCCTGACAGTATACAGGGCAGGTAAACTAGTGAGGAGGATTGTTTCCTTCCTGCTTTTCGATCCTTAAGTGAGATGTTCTATTGCTGATAGACAGTAGGCTGGCATATGTGTAGGTTATAAAATGTTTCAAAGGTGGGGAGGCGGATAGTGAAGAAGCTGGAGGAAGGTAATGATTGCTCTGCTCATTGAACAGGCCAGCTGGTAGCTCCCTTCACGCAAACCCCACCAGCACAGCTTCCACACCTGCTACCACCCCTGTGAAGAAAAAGAGGTAAGCTGGGCACCCTGTGTCTGTCTCTGGCTGAGCTCGGCTCCAAGGTCCCCTAGATGATGCTGGCGGGGAGCTTTGCTCCCTCAGAGCTGCACTCCAGGGAGCAGCTTGACTTGAGATGGTGATTGGTGAGTAACCAGCCATCACTACGTGCCCATTGTGTCCTCCTTTGCTCTGGACTTTAGGGTGATTCTACTTTAAAGAAGAGTGGGGGCTCCTTCCAGGGACCTTGTACTGTTGTCCTGGTTTTTTTTTTTTGTTCTTTGAGACAATTTCATTTCTATTTTCATTATATATATATATACATTTAAGTCATTCATAAAACTAAAAATAAATCTATATGAATAAACAGAGGGTCGTAGGGTATAGGGAGAAATCTTTTCAATGGACAATATGTAGCTGTGTGAAAATACTTAGAGATTGGTTTGTTAAAGCCAAAGTAAACACAATCAGATACACCAGTTTACTCCAGCACTGCTCGCAAGAACTGAGCTGTGGAAACCAATCTAGGTATCCAACAATGGAGGGAAGGACGAAGAAAATGTAGTGTGTAACATAATGGGATTGTTTCAGCATAAAGTTATGCCTAGGTTGAAGTTATGTCAACTGGAGATTCTTGTCTTAAGCAAATCAAGCGATTTCATTTCAGGATGTTGCAGGGCTCCAGGCTTCCTTAGCCTCACCATACCTTCCCCAGCCCGTGTTACTCTTTCCATTTCTCTCATTTTTGTCGTTCTTAGCTTAGCCTTCTCTGCAGAGATCTTGGCTACAATTCTAGCTCTATGAAATCATCGCCTTGCCCTGTAAGGTGATCTTTCTAACAGTTGCTGAGGCTGAGGCTAGCACTGCTGTAGCACTCATTGCTGTCTGAGCACCCTGGTCAGAGTGTTCTATTTCACAGTTTAGATAGACATCATATTTTAGTTAGAGAATAAAGTTGTTATTACCATTATGGGCTAGATTGGGAAGGTAGAGAAAAAGGAAGACTAACATGATGAACGCACACAAACCTACAGTCTAGATTTGACGGTTGCTGTTCTCTCTCTTTTTTTTTCTGTTTAAGGAAATACATTGTTTAGTGTCAAAAAAAATTGAAAAAGGCGGTGGGGTTAGAGCTTGAAGTATAGGATCCTTTCTTATTACTCACTTTATGAAATAGTTTATTTCCATTTTATTGCCAAGGCTTCCTGTAAAAATTATCCTGTTGCCTTTTTAGCTATCAGCTGCCCTCCCATCCCCAGATGTGGGGTGGGATCAGCCATTCGAACGCTGTGATTATGACTGGTGTCATTTCTTAACAGACAGTCCTGGTTCCCACCACCCCCTCCTGGTCACAGCGCCTCTCCAAGCCCAGGAGCAAGCGGAAGGTAAGGGAAGGTGTCAGGCGTAATTGCTATGCTGTGATGGAAGGATCCATTAGTCCTTGACAGCATATAATTGTGAATGTTTCACAATAAGCTGATGGTTATTTTGTGAACTCTGGAGAAGACAGTGCCCAGTAGGACTGGGGTCAGGGTTCTCGGCGTTCTTAGTGAGCCATCTGACAGGCCGTGAGAACTGAGGAGGCCCCATATTAATTTTCAATGTTTTCCGTGACAAAGTGCTGCAATTGTAGTGGAATAAACAGTGGGAATTTATGGCCTCACTGTGAAAGAGCATGATGTGGGCAGGATTTTTTTTTCTTTGATAGGCAACACATAGTAATTTTATTAGAAATATTTACTAGGTATTTCCAAACTTATTTTTTATTTTGATCAATTCTTCTTACTTCTCGTATTAATATAAATTATTATTACAATGAACAAGTGATTTTGTAACTTTGTAAAACTGTGCAAGGGTTGGTCGTGAGTCAAGGTCTCACACATGCAAAGCCTGTTGAGATTGTGGGTACGCTTTGCTCTGAACTGAGGGTCCTGGCTATCAGCCCTAGCGATTCAGCAACTTGCTGGTTGTGTTTTACATGGAAGATGAATAATAATGCTCCGTAGGGAAAAAAAAATCTAGCTCAGATCCATAGCACAAGAATGAAGGAGATGAGGAGGTTGTTAGGTTTTGTTAATCAATGTGTCTCTCTGCTCCTGGTTCAGAATCATGGGCTATTTGCACACTGCCTCACCTGAAGGGCTTCTCTCTGAGCTTTCAGGGAGGGAGGTGTGAATGGCAGTGTAGGGAAGACTCTTCCTTAGAGTAGGACTACAGAGTCTGCTTTTCATCTTTGTGTACCTGTCCCAGGGTTGATAGGCAGACTTTGTAATACATACTGAAAAAATAGAAGTGATTATTAATGACAAGAAAGACTGAACGCCACAAAAACAGATCTCTGATCCCAGAAGATCCAAAGCAAATGAAAACAGGTCATAGACAGATAAAACTGGGGGACTATGGTTTTTAACACCTTTTGAGCCTAATGCTGAATTTACTTCTCTTTATCTCCGGTTGGTGCACAGGGATCCCCCCCGCCTTTCTCCTCCTGCCCCTCTTCTCCTGCCCCCTTACTGTCCCATCACTGTTTTCTGTTCAGTGCCCAGGTATACTTTCACTATGCAGTCTGTCCTTGAAATGCTGTTTTATCTCTGCCCCCCATCCAATGCTTAAACAGATCTCCAGACAACACCACCATTCCAAGAGACAGCCCCTCTCCAACCTTTTTTCCTAGACCTCTCTGCCAATCATTTGCTTCCTGGTAACATGCCAACTAAGAAGTCAAAACCAGTTGTCTTTGGATTGAAGGCTTGGGTTAATGCAGCACAGACTGGAACAAAGAGTCTCAGTTAGTTTTTTTTAATGAAAGCCGTGATTTCCTATTTTTATTGTCTATCATCTATCTTTACATGTGGATGCTTATGTCTGTGACTGTAACCCTATCTGTATGTGTAAATCTATCTGTCCTAACCTTTATAGCTACATCTCCAGCTATATACAGATTTTAGTAAACAAGACTAGCAAGATCAGCTATATTCTAAACCATCATGTATGTACCAGTCCGAAAGGACATTTAAAATAAAGTTTTGTTTTGTCTTAAATTACATTTAGCCCAGGTGAATGCTTTTGAACCCAGCACTTTGGAGGCAGAGGAAGGTGAAGCTCTATGAGTTTAAGGCCAGCCTGGTCTATGTAGAGAGTCCTAGGCTAGCCAGGGCCACACAATGAGATCCCATCTCAAACAAAACAAACCCTCCCTGCCAAATCACATTAATAGCTAAATAAAAAGCTTACATCTCAAAAAGTAAAACAAAACAACAAACAAACAAACAACAAAAACAAAACAAACCCCCTCATATGTTCTGAGTAACTCACAGCCCTGTAACTTAAACCCCATAGCTAAATCTGGACTCCTTTCCTGAACTTATGCAAACCCCTGAAAACCAATGTTATCAAAATTATAAACAATAAAGCAAAAGTTTTTTTTTGCAGAAGAAAATATGAATGGCACAGAGATCAATTTTAATTTTTGAAACTTTAAGGATATTTTATGGCTCAAGAATAGAATTGGGTAAAAGATTTAATTTTGTATGGTATTACTTTTATTAAGGAAAAGAAATCAACAATTCTCACATTTGAAAATAAATTGTCATAAATTAATTGTTTGAATAATGTATCTGCTGCTCATGACTTTGCTTTATTTTAATAATTTCCAAACTAAATTTCCAAGACTATATGAAATACAATAAAATATTCTAAACAATGATAATTTTCTGTTTCATATACATTAGTCTTGAAATGAAGGGTTTAGACAGGAATGGTCAAACAAAGTAGAGGGCAAAACTGGCAAATCTGAAGGTTTTTCACTCCGTTTGGGCTGAATGTTAAACAGATAAATTTAATTCCCGACAGCAGGACCCAGCATGTAAAGTTTGTCTGAGCAAACCCGTTTCCCTCTTCCAACTGATTTCCGAGGTTGCTCTTACGATCTGTGTAATACTTACTGGCTTGTAAATGTTTTAAAATATAAATAACCAACACAACGTTTTGGATTATCAAGATATGTCAGCAGGTTTATATTCTCTGCAGTTTTATCTGATGCCATCAGCTCAAATATTTTCCTTTCATTTTTATCAAGACTCGAATACAAATTGTAACTTTACTTCCTGTTCCTACAACTCTCCTGTATGTTCTCCTGCCCCAGGATCAAGTCCCTGCTATCCTCTTTTCCCTTTATTCAAATCTTTCATCCTAAAAATATCATCTTTGACATTTTCTGGGCAGATCCTTCAAATCCCTTCAAGTTGACATTCTCTCTCTTTCTCACCCTGCCAGTGATTTCCATCTGCACTTTGCTGGTTTCTGTTTTCCTCACCTCCTGGGAACAGCTCTCCCTAAGGCCTTGGGTACCATCTCCTGCTGATCCAGCAGGTCCCTGCGAAGACTTGCCCTTCACACCACACAGCTAGACTGTTGCTTCCTGGCCATACTAAGCCTCCCAACGCCCTGTTCTAGATTTTCTTCTAAACAATTCTCCTCCAGTCATCTTTACAATCCTTTACCAAATCTTTACATGCTAATATTCCCAAACCTCAAAGCCATCTTCTCCTCTCTCCTGATGGCATGTTCTGACCTTCAGTAGCAGAGTCAGTAATGAGGATACCTAAAGCCACTTGTTCCTCCAGACTTCTGATATTTAGGTTGTATAGTCGCTGGCTTCCTTGACACTTAAATCTCTCAAAATAATTGGCAACTTGGTATGTTCACGATATTTGCCGTTTACCGAAGCCTGATCTTACCTTAGTTACCACCACCAAACTATCCAGCCTTCTGACACCTTGAAATACGTTACAGTTTCTTTCCATTGCCGTGATAAAATACCCTGCCAAAAATCAACTCAGGGGAAAGGAGATTTATTTCATCCCAGGTTATATTTCTTCATGGTGGAGAAGTCAACACAGGAACTTCAGCTAGTCTATATGATGTCTACAGTAACGAGCAGAGAGAAGTGGATGCAGACGTGTTTACTAGCTTGCCTGAGTTCTTCTTGATTTCTCTACTTTTATACAGTGCAGGATCCCTTACCTAGAGAATGGTGCTACCCACACTGGGCTGGGTCTTCTTTCGTTGATTAACTTAAGACAGTTTCCCCCACAGATACACTAACATATCAATTCAGTGTAGGAAATCCCTCATTGAGATTTTCTTCTCCAGTGTTTGTAGCTTGTGTTAACAGTTAAAGTTGACATCACGAAAGTTGAGGGTAGTTTTCCACCTTTTCCTACTTAACCACAGGTGCTTACTGTATAAGCAAGGCTGACATCCTGCCTTCTAATTGCTTTTTGAATCCATGTGTCTCCTTGTATTCCTCTCCCCTTGAATAATTTCTCTCCTGTATTATGACAATAGATGTTCCCTGAATAGTCTCCTTGCCCTCACTCTTATATCTACTCTTCACTCCTTTATATGGTTAACAAAGTTATATTTATTTTAATAAAGTAGGAATCAGATCATCTCATCTTCTCAAGTAACATTTAAAATGGTTTTGCATTGTCTTCGGAAAGTGAGCCAGGTCCTTAGCAGGGCTCCTGGCCCTTGCTTGTCTTCCATTCATAACTAATCCCCCTTCTTTGGGTTCAGTTACTTAATCTGTTTTATCTTGCTTTTTCTGGCCTCCACATTCTGGCGACCCTCAGAATCCCCAGCCTTTCTGTCTTAAATTCTATCTTCTCCCATATCTGAGGCACGGGAGTACTCGTGCTGTGTTTGGATCTGATTTCCCTTCACAGTTGTTAATTCTAATTTACACCAGCTGTTCTCTTAGTTCCCCACTAGGTGAGAAAGTTTCCTTGGATTATTGAAATGCTTCCCGCGTAAGGTTAAAGTAGAGATGTGAAGTTGAGGACCAGCGGGATTCCAGTGAAGAAGCTAAGGCCAAATCACATACCAAGAATCAGAAATCTCTGTGACTTCTTTGGTCACACCTCTGTCAGGCATTTCTCATTGACTGGCATTTCCTACAAAACCTCCCCAGAAGAGATCATCCTCATATTTAATTGAGGATCTCTAGTGGCATTTTAATTGTAATTTAATAAATAGAACTTGCCTGAGGATCAGAAAAGTAAAACAGCCACACTGGCCAGCCTTTTACCGACCAGGCAGCAATAACACACAACTTTAACCCCAGTAGTAATACTGGTTGTCATAGAAATCCGGTGGTGCCTGCCTTTAATCCCGGCGGTGCAGGCGTTTAATCCCAGCTTCAGAGAGAGACATAAAATGGGAGGAGACAGTTCTCAGACACAGTCTCGTTCTGAGGTTCCTAGAGGCAGGATCGCCATTTTCGGACTCCCGTCGAGCTATTTTGCTTTTCGGACCTTCAGGTTGAACCCCAATTTCTCTGTGAGTTTTTATTAATCGTGCTTCAAGGATCCATTGACTCTTG